CCGCCCCTGGCCACCCCCCCAGCGCCCCTTCGCACCCGCTTCCCCAGGGCGAGGCCCTGGAGCAGGCCATCCTGAGCCAGGCGCCGCAGGTGGAGAAGCTCATCGCCACCACGGCGCACCAGCGGATGCCCTGGTTCCACAGCAGCCTGACGCGCGAGGAGGCCGAGCGCAAGCTCTACTCGGGCGCGCAGACCGACGGCAAGTTCCTGTACGTGGCCGCGAGCGGGGGTGGTGTGGGGCTGGGCACCCGTGAGTGTGCAGGCGGGTGTGGGCGGTAGTGTCCGTGTGCACACGTGCAAGTGGGCTGGGCAGTGCTGGTGCGCAGTTCTGTCCCTGCTCGTCCTTTTTTGAAGGGCTGGGGATTAAACGCAGGGCCTTTGCACTGCACTATATCCCTAGCCACTCCTCCCCTTTTTCTTTCAAGACAAGGTCTCCCTAAATTGCTAAATTGCCTGGTTTGGCCTAGAACTTTCGATCCTCCTGCCTCAGCCTCCCAGAATGCTGGCATTAAAGGAGAGCACCACCAGGGACTTCTTCTTCTTCTTCTTTTTTTTTTTTTTGCTTTTTTCTGGTACCGGGAATCGAACTCACCACCTTGTGCTTCTCAGGCAGGCGCTGTGCCGCTGAGCTAAATACCCACGCCCGGGACTTCTATATAGGACCCTAGCAATGAGTAGGAGCGAAGCCGGGTTCCCCTGGGTGGGAGCCCAGCTTCTGCCACCTACTGGCGGTGGGCCTCAGGCGCGTGGCCAGACCTCGGCCAGCCTGGCTTCCTCTCCTTCCTGTGGCCAGTGTGTACGGGACATCTGCTGGGTACCGGCACTCGCGACCTGGCCGCAAACCACACCCTAGTGCCTGTCCCGTGGGGCAGACAGAAGACAGGACGAGCTGGCACCATCCAGACTGTGCCAGGTGGTGCTTGTGCTGTGTGTGGGTGGGGAGGGTCACAGTGTCAGGCCAGGTTGCTGGGAAGCCATCCCCGGAGAGGAACCAGACGGGGGCCCTGGGGCTGCAAAGGTGCTCGGGGTACAGAGTGCGTGCCCGTGCTGGGTGCCATTCCCAGCCCTGCAGAAGCGCAGAAGGGAGCTGTGACTTCCCTCGGGAGGATGCCCCGGGCCACTGGGGATGACCCAAGGCCAGGAGCGGGCGTTCATTTGGAAAGTTGGAGAACTAAGGAGCGGGCCAGGGCGGGGGAGGCGAGCGCAGCGAGGGGCTGTGGTTTTGTCCCGGCGATGTTAGATGCCCTGATTCTCTCCCTTCCCGCAGTCCCTTTGGTTTGGGTGGTGTGACTTGCTTGGGTCCCTCCGCCGTCCTGTTGGCATTGTCTACCCCAGGGGCCAGCTACCGGGATCCCGTGGACTAACGATCACGCAACAGCACACGTGCAGTGTGTGTGCAAGGTGCCGTGAGGATTGCATTTATTGCCCGTGGGTGATGGCGTGTGTCTGAATGTCTGGGGACGGCTGGGGCTTTTTTCCTCCAAAGTGTTTCTAAACACTCCCTGGGGGGTTGGGAGCCCTGTGGGGCTGCTGCTATCTGGTTTGGACACGGGTTCTTCTGTGTACAGATGTCAGCTGAGGTCATTCAGGCCCAGGAATCCGGGGTTCCCCAAGAGGTCCGAGGGGGACGATTCCCAAGGCCTCCCTGTGTGGGTGCGTCTTGGCCGGGTCCTGGCTGATTCTTGCTGTCACCCTCCCGCCTTAGGACTGTTCCCTCTCTGGGGCCCTCCCCCTGGGAGAAACTGACCTCCCCGTGGGGCCCCTCACCCCCATGAGGCCTCTGCGATGGCCCGGACGTCTCCCATAAGAGCAGCCCTCCCTGGACTCTGCTGTCAGTTTTGGCCGCGTAACTGCCCTGAGACTTATGGGTGCAGACCGACACAGTCTGTCGTGTCTCGCAATCCTGTGAGCTGACTGAGAGGTTTCCTTTGGCTCAGCGGGGCGCGGACTGGGTAGTCTGGGACAGCCGAGCTCCAGTGTCTGCTGGTGATGGGGTGAGCTGGTGCCGAGCTGTCATAACCTGGCAGGGCGGCCTGGGGGGCCCTCACCCAGTGAGGCGTAGGATTCCCAAGAAGAGCAGGGAGAGCGAGCTCTAATGCGCACCCCCCAATCTTCCGCTCTGCAGTCACTGATGTCCTGTGACCAAGCACGTCATGTGGCCAGACAACCCGCGTCTCTGTGGAGAAGGGCGTTGCCGTAGGGAGAGGAATTTGGGCCGCCCTTTCTGTGAAGAGGCTGAATAGGCCCAGAACCAGGGGCCGGGGAGGAGGCGGGGCCCTCGGGTGTGGCGCCCGGCTGGCTTTCTTTGCTTCTGTGCTGCGGGCGGGGCCTCCAGCTGCTGATGGCGGCTCTCGCGCATGCAGATGGCTGCGCCCGACGTTGCCCTCCTTTTTGAGATGCTGCACTGCGTCCCCAGTGCGGTGCTCCTCACTAAGATGTCCCTAACCTCGGTGGCACAGCACACGCGCACCCCGTCGGCACCACGGAGCCCTTGGGGAATCGGGGGAGCTGAGCCCCTCCGGAGCGCCCTCACGTTCGCTTCCCCCACCGTAACAAATGGCCGCAGCAGACACACTTACAAGAAGAGGTTTATCTTGGCTCGGTGCCGGGGCTCCAGCCGTGGTCCTCGGGGCCTTGGCCTTGGGCCGGGGAAGGCCGTGCATCATGGTGGAGCCGAGCTGCTCACCTGGTGGATGGAAAAAGAAAGAGGCCGTGGCTGGCCCCCCACCCCCGCTGTCCTCTCAAGGGCCCCCACCTGAAGATGCCACCAAGCCCCTCCCAACTCTGTCATTCCCAGTGGTGTCACGGCTGGGGCGCACGCCCTCGGCACACAGGCCTCTGGGGGGCTGTCCACGTCCAAACTGTAGCCCCCCCACCTTTACCCAGAAGGCTTTGCAGACACAGCAAGATGGTGCCTGGTCCTGAACCTCATCCTTGGAGCCCTTTGCAGGTTGAGAACTTCTGGTTTAGCGCAGGTTTCATTCTGCAGTGGGGAAACCGAGGCACCAAGAGGATGAACAGCTTGCTTGAGATGACCTGTGACAGAGCTGGGTCATAATGGGTGTGGGTCCCGGCCCTGCCGCTTAGCAGCTGTGCAGTGTAGGGAAGAGATCTCTGTCAGTCTTCAAAATAGGGGTAATAAGGGTGTTTACCTCGTGTGAAGTGCTGGGAAAATTGAGTGACAAGTGTGTGAGAATTCAGAACCACTGTGTGTAATAAATATTAGCTGCTTCCCCCTCCTCTGCTTCTTTTCCTCCATCATCATCTTCCTTATCATTATTTGTGGCACTGGGGATTGAACCCCAGGTCTTCACACTGAGCTGTATTCCCAGTTATTATTATTATTTTTTTATAATAATAAGACCCTGAGGCAGGGTCTTGCTAAGCTACTCACTTGTCCAGGCTGGGCTTGAATTTGCAATCCTCCTGCCTCAGCCTCCCTGCTGGGATTCCAGCTGTGCACTCCCTCCCCCAGTTAGCGTCTACATATTATTTAAGAGCTGAGACTCTGGCTGATTTCTTAGCCTGTACCTCTAGCTAAAGGGCAGGTTCAAACTGCAAAGGCAGAACTGCCATTGTCTAATAGTTCTTTTGTAAGTAAAGTAGAATTTGTGGTATTGAAATGTATGTGGTCAGAAAACCGACGTCTCAGCCTGTGAATTTATCCAGCAGTCAGTGGCTGCTGCTTTCCACGTGCCTCTTTCCGAAGAGAGTGTATAGTTAGCATTTGCTGCGTGACAAACTACCCTAGCACGGACTGGATTTTGAAAGTGGCTTCAGTAGCCATGCATTCCCTCTCGCGGTCTGGGCTGAGTTTAGCAGGCTGGTTCTTCTCCGGGCTTTGTGAGCTTGCTCGTGTTGCTGCAGTCCACTGGGAGGGTGCCTGGGGCTGAGCAGTCCAGCACGGCTGCATTCACGAGTCCGTAGGGGGCAGGCTGGGTGCCCGTTCCCCTGTGTGGCCCTTCCAGCCCCTGGCTGATGTGGGCTCATTTCCACAGTGGGTGCAGGCTTGCCAGCTTTTAAAAGCAAGAGGTCAGCCAGGGTTCCACGGTCACCAAGCCTCTGTTTGTGTTGTGCTTGTGCCAAAACCGGTCACGTGGTCGAGCCCTGATTCAGCAGGTAGAAAAATACATAGACCCCATTATGGATGGCAAGAGCTGCCTAGTACTCCAGTGTTTTCTCCCCACCCAATCTTGTATGCACACGTGTGTTGGTGAGTGGTTTGGCGTTGAGTTTCTGATGTCTGGTCAAAACTTAAGTTTATGTATGGCTGAGTGTGGTGTGGTGATACACACCTGTAAATTAAGTGCTCTGGGAGGCTGAGGCAGGAGGGCTGCCAGTTGCCAGTATGGGCAATTTAGCAGTGTGAGACTCTCTCGCTGTTCCCCGGGGTGTCCGTCTGTCCGTGCATCCCTGGACTGGTCTGCCTGGGGGCTGTACTGCCCTCCCTTGTGCTGTTGTCAGGAATGGATGGGGCAGTCACAGCTTCCCCCGTCCCTGTCTCAGCTCTGCTGGAGCGGCATAGGGCACAGTGCCTTGCTTCTTCATCCTAAGGAAGAGTCTGCTGGCGGGATGGACTCGCGGGTCTCATGCACCATAACCCCGCCTGTGCTTATAATATCCTTCCAGGAAGGAGGAGTGCGCGGGCGGGGCCCACACGCTGCCTGAGTGACTCTGGGGTCCGTGCCTCGGGGGCCCCACTCGTGGGCGGCCCAGTAGCAAGCTCCCTGCCGCTCAGCACAGGGCCAGGTCAGTGTCTGCACCTCCTGTAGCTCTGAGGCCCGGGCCGCTGCCGCCCTCCTCCCTCCCGACGTTGCGCTGACACCTGCAGCTCTGGAGCAAGCGCCAGGCACCCAGCCTCCCTGCTCGATGGGCGACCTTGGTGTCGTCTGGCCGTCGGCTGGCCTGGGTGTGCACGCAGGGTGTGCGTGTGCACGCGTGAACGTGTGTCCACGGCAGTGGGTGGACACGCGCTTCTTGCACTGTCCGTGAGGGGCGGTCCCCATCGCAGACGCAGAAGGTTTGCAGATTTATTTTGATGAGTGTCCAGCAGAGGGCAGTCGAGGGCCGCATATCCCCGGCCCCTCCGTTTCCTAGCTGGTCACATTCTGCTGACTTGCAGGGGGCCCTGGAAGGAGTCACAGTTGAGGTCCCCGGGGGTGGGGGTGGTCCATGTGGAAATGGCTGTCTGTGCCCAGGAGGATGACTGCGTCTGTCTGCTGAAGGCCGAGTGTCCCCGTGGAAGGGGGCCCCGTGCTTGCTGGAGATGGCCCCGAGCACGGCCAGCTGCCCCCTGTGGGTGACTGAGGGTCCCCAGTGGACTGTCTGGCCACGGGCAGCCATGCATTCAGCCACGGGGGACCAGTGGCCCCCTGAAGCCTGTGGCTGAGCAGGAGGTGTGGGTGGCCGACGTGGGCGGTCAGTGTTTTCTTGTGAAGGGCCACCTGTCTGCCCTTGGACAGGGGCCATTGCCCCCGTCTCTGCCCCCGATGGCCTGTCACCAGGCATGGCGGTTGACCTGGGCTTCTGCAGTCCCCGAGGAGCCCATAAAGTGTGCATCTGGGGACACTGAGGAGTGGAAGGACCCTCGGGTGCCCATAGAGGTGACGGCCTCCTCGCCCTGCAGGCTGAGGCCCCGGAAGGAGCAGGGCACCTACGCACTGTCCCTGATCTACGGGAAGACCGTGTACCACTACCTCATTAGCCAGGACAAGGCCGGCAAGTACTGCATCCCCGAGGGCACCAAGTTCGACACGCTGTGGCAGGTAGAGGCCACGCGCCTTTTGGGGGGCCGGGGCTCCGGCTGCCCAGGGTCCCTGCCTGACACCCGCTCCCCGCAGCTGGTGGAGTACCTGAAGCTGAAGGCGGACGGGCTCATCTACTGCCTGAAGGAGGCCTGCCCCAACACCAGCGCCGAGGGTGAGTACTCGGGGCCTGGGCCGGGGCGGGGCGGGGTGGGGCGGGCGCCTCCGGCCCTCACCGTCCCTTCTGCTGTCTCAGGGGCCGCCGCTCCCACGCTTCCTGCCCACCCATCCACCTTCACCCACGTGAGTCGGGGCCTCTCAGCGCTGGGCTCGGGCTGGGGCGGCTCTGCAGGGGAGAGGGTCCCCGCGTGTCCCCGGGAGTCCTCGCTGGCCCCACTCACTGTTTCTGATCCTGTGACCTTTAGCCTCAGAGACGGGCGGACACCCTCAACTCCGATGGATACACCCCAGAACCAGGTGAGTGGCCGGGGTGCAGTGGGGGGCCTCGTGCTCAGCTGGGAGCCGGGTCTGCGGCGCTGTGGGGCCTGGCGGGGAGGATGAGGCAGGCCTGCAGGGGCTGGCGCCGCCGATCCTGCGGGCCTGTGTGCTCACGCCGTCGTGCCTGCCCTTGGGCACGTGGTCCCGGGGTGCTGCCTGGCGCCGACACTTGGGGGCGAATGCACCTGCACGCACCCGGACACACCCACACGTGAACACCGCTGTGCCTCCGTGTGCCAGCCGTGCTCAGCGGGTGTGCCCTGAGCCACTCCTCCCTGCCCTTGCCGGGTGTTCACACTGTCTGTGTGCCCAGCGCGCCCGGCCCCTGCGGACGAGCCACGGCCGATGCCCATGGACACGAGCGTGTATGAGAGCCCCTACAGCGACCCCGAGGAGCTGAAGAACAAGAAGCTCTTCCTGAAGCGCGAGAACCTGCTCGTGGCCGACATTGAACTGGGCTGCGGCAACTTTGGCTCCGTGCGCCAGGGTGTCTACCGCATGCGCAAGTAGGACCGGCCGCCTGTGTGGGGCCGGGGGCGCGGGCGGGAGCCGGCGTGGGTGTCTGGCGAGGGACAGGATGAGCCATGGGGGCCCTGGAAAGCTGGGGACGCAGGAGAGGGAGTGAGAAGACCCAGGCCTGAGCAGGGGGCGCTTGGGTGGCCTGGCAGCTGGAGCAGAGGCCTCGGCCCAGCCCGGGCACCGAGGCAGGCGGGCACTTTGGCTGGGGCTCTCTGGGGCGGCGGGCTGCGGGGAGCTGTCCTCAGCATCGCCCGGGTGGCGGGGCAGGGCTGCCAGCTTACACCCCGGCCCCGGGCAGGAAGCAGATCGATGTGGCCATCAAGGTGCTGAAGCAGAGCACGGAGAAGGCGGACAAGGACGAGATGATGCGGGAGGCGCAGATCATGCACCAGCTGGACAACCCCTACATCGTGCGGCTCATCGGCGTGTGCCAGGCGGAGGCGCTCATGCTGGTCATGGAGATGGCGGGCGGCGGCCCGCTGCACAAGTTCCTGGTCGGAAAGAAGTGAGCCCTGGGGCGGGGGCCTGGGGACCACGCTCACGACCCCCAGCACCCTGGCCCCGACCCCCGCACCCCTGCCGAGCGCCGCCGCCACCCTCCGTGTCCTCAAGGGCCCCTTGGTGTCAACAGGATCCACCCAAGTGGTTCTTGTGAGCTGGTGCCCGTGAAGCGCTTCCAAAACATCTGGCACAGCTGGCAAGGGCTCACAGACAGGAACCCCGTTGCCCTGCCCAGGTTCTCCAGGCCAAGCTCCTGCCCGTGGGAAACTGCTCACGGTCGCCTCTGCGACCTAAAGTGGGGGCAGTGAGCGGCAGCCTCTGCGTGCTTTTATATCCAGTGGTTTTGTGTTCTTAAAGGGTTAAATATGAAACAAAACCACCGGCGTAAGTGACAGAGGCTGTGGGTTGGCAGAGCTACAGCGTAGCTCTCTGGGCCTGGGCAGGGATGTTGGCAGTTTCATCTGCGTCTCCGCGTGCCCCCGCTTGCACACTCTCTTCAGCGTGCTGCTGGGGATTGCACGCTCTCGGGCACACACGCCTTTGCCTCGAGCGCCTGGCCCTGCCTTCCATCCCTGCTCAGGGGTCTGCATTGCCCCTGGCAACGGGGCCGCCTTGTCCCCCTGACGCGCCTCCTCCCCAGGGAGGAGGTCCCCGTGAGCAACGTGGCCGAGCTCCTGCACCAGGTGTCCATGGGGATGAAGTACCTGGAGGAGAAGAACTTCGTGCACCGCGACCTGGCGGCCCGCAACGTCCTGCTGGTCAACCGGCACTACGCCAAGATCAGTGACTTCGGCCTCTCCAAGGCCTTGGGCGCCGACGACAGCTACTACACGGTGACCCTGTGCCCCTGTGGTGCCCAGGGGGTGGGCTCTGTGGGAAGAGGGTCCCTGAGTCCCCTCGTCCTAGCCGTGTCTCCCCCACCCAGGCCCGCTCGGCTGGGAAGTGGCCCCTCAAGTGGTACGCGCCCGAGTGCATCAACTTCCGCAAGTTCTCCAGCCGCAGCGACGTGTGGAGCTACGGGGTCACCATGTGGGAGGCCTTCTCCTACGGCCAGAAGCCTTACAAGGCAGGCAGGCGGGCACCAGGGGGACAGGCGGTGGGGACAGAGGGGGGCAGGAGGTGCCCATTGCTCACACTGCCCTGGCCCCGGCTCAGTAGAAGATGAAGGGCCCCGAGGTGCTGGAGTTCATCAAGCAGGGCAAGCGGATGGAGTGCCCGCCCGAGTGCCCGCCCGAGATGTACGCGCTCATGAGCGACTGCTGGATCTACAAGTGAGTGGGGGGGGGCAGCCCGTCGGACCCAGGCGCCCATCCCTCGTGTCACCGTCACTGTCCTGTGTCACCCCCGCAGAGGTCTGTGCCCAGTCCACAGCCTCTCTGACACTCGTGGGGCCGGCACCCGCCTTCAGACCGCAGCCCCCGCCTGTCGCCACTCAGCACAGGAAGCCCACAGGCCTCACACAGAGCCGCTTGGCTACCCAGCACGCATCCCACTTCTCTGGCACGGGTCGGTGCCCAGTACCTAACCCCTCGGCCCCTCCAGCCAGCGCTCCGCACCTGGGTGCCCAGCTCGGCCGACCCCGAGGGACCCAGGCCTCAGCATATTCAACCCCCACCCCGGTCTGCTTGAAGCCCAGTACCCAAGTCCTAGCGCTGTCAGTGCCCAGCTCCCGTCCAAGCGCAGACTGTGTTGCCCTCCGCTGGCTCCTGGGCTCCGTAGTTGCTGCTCCGATGTCCAGGGACTCAGTTCTCCCTGTCTGTCTGCAGCACCAGGATTCCAGGGCCCTCACCCCAACACCTCTGTTATCTAGCGGTCCCCCCTGCCCAGTGGCCCATTTGCTTTCGGGGAGCCCTGTAAGCCCGCCACAGCCAAGCCCCATGCAAGCACCCTTCAGGTCAGTGCCGGGTCTGCACCCCCACAGGTGGGAGGACCGCCCTGACTTCCAGACGGTGGAGCAGCGCATGCGGACCTATTACTACAGCCTGGCAAGCAGGGCCGAGGGGTCCCCGCAGTGCGCACAGGGGCCCGAGGCTGCGTGCGTCTGAGCCCTGGCCACGGGGAGCCTGGGACCCCAGCCTGACCTTGGTCCTCTGCCAAGGCTCCCTGGTCCCCTGGGCCTGGGGCAGGTGGGCCGAGGCGGGCCAGTCCTGGGCTGAGGGGCTGCCCCAGGACTCTGGCTCTGGCGCCCGAGGCTGTCTAGGCTTCAGTCACTGGAATAAACTCGGCTTCTCTCCTGCCTGAGCCCCTCGTCTTTCTGGGGTGAGGCCGGCGCGGGTGCGCTGGGTGGTCACAGAAGTGGACCAGAAGTGCCCCGTGCCCCGAAGCACTTCTCCTCTTGTGGGAAAGATGTGGCTGACTGTTCCCCCTTCTCTGCATGGAGGGCACCTTCCGGACAGAGCAGGGGAACTGAGACCAGGTGTGTGGGGGGCAAAGGGCTGCGTGCACTGCCTCAGTTTCCCTGAGTCGCCTAGCTACCTGCTCAGCTGCTCCCACTTTCTTCGCTGGCCTTAGTCACAGCCGGGGTCTTTGTCACCTGCTGCTCCAAGTGTCTGCTCAGCCCTGCTCAGAACAGTCCCCAAGTCTTGCTGCCTCGGTTTCCCCACATGGGAATTGGGTTGTTGGAGGGCAGGACCCAACGGAGGACTGCAGGGCAGCCAGGACCCTGCATTGCCTTTCTGAGCAGCCCCGTCGCACGCTGGGACTGGCTCCGTCCCCAGTGCCTCGGAAGGCCTCCTCCAGGGGACAGCACGTGACCCACCAGCAGCCAATGACAGGCGAGGAGCTTCGCCGGGGATTCTTTTTATTTGTGGTGGGAAGCCAGGAGACCCAGAAGCCTGAGCTGGTTTGTGGGACCGCAGGGGAGGGATAGGGGGCAGAGCTTGAGGCCCAAGTGTGTGGCTACAGAGAAGAGACCTCGAGCCCTGGGGACATGTGAATATGTTGTGAAGCCAGGAGGTCAACCCAGCATAGACTTTATTCTGACCTCACCATTTATTATTGGATTTTAGTAATTTAAATGTCAGTTTAATTTAGCATATTTTGTTACTTTTCTTTCAATGACCTTCGTGTTCTCCATGGAAGCCGATTAAGAGCCCCAGTTCTAGGGACCAGGGCAGGCGCTCAGTGACGCCGCTATGTACATGGGGTGTCTGGGGTGCTTGGGGTGTTTGAGGGTCTGCAAACCCTGCCAGGCCCGGCTGCTGGGTCACAGACCACAGAGCACAGTTAATTGCGAAGACAAAATCATAGAACTGAGACTGCTTCAAGTCTGTCATTGTTTGTGATCTCTTGGCAGTTTATGTGATTAAAATTTAATATACCCACGCCTAAATGTTAAATGCAAACATTGTTTTTGAATTACCTGTGTTAAAATGAATAAATAAAGGAAAGTCACACCAGTGGTGTGATTTAATGGCTTTCTGAATTCTACTGTTTGCGGATGGATCAGTTTGATTAAAATTCTCTTGTAACTGGAAATGCATTTTTACTTTCTTTTTTTTTAGTTTTTTTTTTTTTCTTTTGGTACCGGGAATCGAACTCAGGGTCTTGCGTTCATTTTTTTGTGTTCATTATCATCAGTTCTGTGTCGTGATTATTGCTGAAAACGGTGCGACTTCATAGGAAGTGATTGTGGGTATCAAAATATTTCACTGGGAACCCAGGGACTTCGCGGGGCTGCAGAATGGACCAGGAACCAAGGTGCAGTTCCACCACACGGTCACAAGGTGGCGCTGCCGCAAAGCCCAGGCCGGCTCAGACGCTCGCACCTGCCCTGGGTCTGGACCCAGCCGGGAGCCCGCCCTAGGCTCCTTCCTCCGGGATCTCCTGGCCCGGCTCTGGTTCTCTGCTACGCGTTCATGCCACAGGCCTTTCCTACCGGGCGGCTCCGAGTCCCCAAACTGCCGTGCTGCCTCTTGCCTCCTTTCTGCCACCTCTGCGGGGAACACGTCCCATCGTGTTTGGCCGTCGTCCGCTGGGAGCTCACACTGCGCGACAGATTTGGCTCTGATTTCCCTGGGGGCGATCGAGTTCTTTAATCCGTTGGTGCTTCCGTTTCTGCGGGGGGCGGGAAGAGGTTCCTGAAAGAGCAAATCCAGGTGGACTAGGAAAGCTGAACGGTAGCGGAGGGCAGGGAGGGTGCTGAGCAGGAGCGTTCTGGGGTGAAGTCTCCGCTCTCTGCCCTGGGGGGCGGTGGCGGGGTGGCTCAGGCCTTGGCTTGGCTCTGCCCCTGTATAGGTCCCCAGAGGCTGGGGCCAGAGGCTCTTTCTCCTCCCGGGGACCTGTGCCAGCCCAGCCCCTGGTGCCTGGTCCTGGCAGACACAGCTTGGGGCGCCGTGGGGTAGCCCTGGAGGGGGCTGTCCCTGAGCTGTAGGCCAGGGCCCGCCGTCACCTTTAGAACACACTGGGGGCAGGGTGCGCTGGTGCACACCAGTAATCCCACTACTCAGGAGGCTGAGGCAGGAGGATTGTCACGAGGCCAAGGGCAGCCTGGGCTGCATATTGAGGCCTTGTTTCAACAAACAAGCTTGATGACCCGGAGACTGATGGGACCCCCGTGGGTTCTCTGGGAGGTGGTGACAGGAGAGAAGGCTGTGCGCAGGCGCGGGGCCTCTGCGCCCGGGACACTCGGGAGGATGGGGTGTTCAGCGACCCCTCCAGCCCTTCACCCCGCCCCTGCCCACCCCGCTGCTCTCCTCCCCTCTCTTCCTGCTCTCCTTTCCATCCTCAGCAGCTTCCTCCACCCTCCGTTTGTCTGCAGCGCCCTCGGCGGCTCTCCGGCTCTGTCTCCCTCCGTGTCCCAGTCCCGCCGTCTGTCTGTCTGTCTGTCCATCCGTCTGCCATCCTGTATGTCCCCCCTGTGGGCAGAATAGGGCCTGTGCTCAGAGCTGTGGCTCTGTGCCCTGCGTTTGGGGCCTGCTCCCCTGACACTGGCTGCCTGGGGGACAGGAGGACCCTGGGCCCCAGGGCTGGGCCTGCCTGGGTTCTGGCTGCAGCCACGGCCCCGCCTGCCCCCTCCTCTGTGTCCTTCACCTTCCCATCCACAGGCCCCGGACCCCACCTCTTCTGTAGCTGTCACCTCTGCACCCTGCCACGCTCCCATGGTACAGTGCTGACGCCACCTTGCCGGGCCAGTGCTTCTGCCCCTAACGGGTGGGGGGACCCAGCCCGGGCTCCTCTCCGAGGCTGCCTGGTGTGGCTCGGAGGGCAGGGACAGCAGGGCCGGAGGGCTCCTTCCTGGGAGAGCTCCGTCGGGCCAGGGCCTTTGGGGTCGGACCCTGCAGGGTCGGCTCTCACGGAGCTCTGGGTGCTGCGCCTGCGGGTGGCCTCAGGGCTGGCGCTGTGGCTGCGGGGGAGCCTGGCTGCTGGGTGACCCTGTCCGGGGTGATGATGGCTGGGCTGGGATGAGCGCCTGTTGCTGTCAGTATCCGTCAGTCAGCTTTGTTGCTGTGACACAACACCAGAGAACATCCACTTGCAGGAAGAAAGGTTGGCTCTGGCTGGGGGTTTCACAGATGGCGCTGGGGTCTGCGCTGGTGGGGGCTGGCATGGCGGCGGAGGCTGGTGGAGCGAAGCTGTCCCTCCGTGGTGACAGGAAGCGGGGAGCCTGTGACAAGAAGACCTTCCAGGGCACACTGAGCGACCTCTTCCTCCACCAGGCCGCCCCTGCAGTCTCCGCCTCCTGCCACAAGGCCATCCCCTAGAGCCCACCAGCAGGGTGACCCTCGAGGCGGCAGCTCGTGCCCCAGTCAGCTCCCCGAGCCTCCAGAACATGGGCTTGGGGACCATTTGTATCCAAACCACAGGGTCTGTTGCAGGCAGCATGTGTGGGCAAACACTGGCAGAGCTCCGAGGAGCCCGGCGGCTGTGTGCAGCGTCTGGGTACGGTGGGTGGCCAGTCTGGCCTCTGCCTCCTGTTCAGCTTTGGCTCCTGGTCTGTGCGCCCAGCTCCGTTATGTGCCTCTGCTCAGACAGGAAGACGTGCGACCTCTTGTCCCAAGACTGCCTCTGGGGTGGCCTCCTCGGTTCACTGGGCACAAGAGGCTGCATGCTGTGTCGCAGGGACACTCCCCTTGAGTGCTTTTTTTCCAGAGCTGGAGATGGAACCCAGGGCCTCATGGACACCAGAAAGTGCTCAGCACTCAGCTGCACTCCAGCTCTCTTCCCTGAACTTTGAGGCTGGGCCCACGGGGCCTGGGGCAGCCGAGGCTATGGGTGCAGGGCTCCAGCCTCAGGGTCCCTCCCTTGGCACTGAGAGGACTGTGGGTACCAGGGGAGGGCCGGTTCTGAGGTGTCTGGGCGGGGAGCTCTAGGCAGAGAGGACAGCCATGTCAAGACCCAGGGCAGGGAGAGACGAGACGCAGTCTCAGTGAGAGGCCGTTAGGGTGACATGGGCCTGCAGGTCACGGGAGGGCGTGGGGCCTGTGCTCAGAGCCAGGTGAAAGGAAACTCAAAAACAGGGGACAGCATTTGTGATACATGTGGTAAGGCTTTGATGCTACACCATGAAATAACATATAAGGAGCCCTCACAACTCACCAACACAAAGACAACCCAACTAAAAATTGTGCGAAGGGCTTGACTACATTCTTCTCCAAAGGAGATCCGCAAATGGCCAATAAGTTCATGAAGAAATGCTCGTTAATGCTCACTAGTCTTTAAAGAACTGGAAATCAAAAATACGAGGAGACACCGTTTCATCCCTACTGGGACGCCGGTCACAGACGCACACCGACAAGAGCTGGTGGGGCGAGGGGAAACGGGACCCTCCGCGCTGCTGGTGGGAGCGTGAGGTGGGACAGCTACAGGGGAACGCAGTTCCGTGCTTTACAGAACTAAATGCTGAGTTAATACCAACCCCCCTTGTCAATATAATCCAAAAATAATTACAAACAAAGCCTCAAACAGATTTTCACACGTCGGTGTTCAATGCAGAATTGTTATTATAATAAAAGGTAAAGCAAAATTTCATAACAAAGTAATAGGAGAATAACAATAGTTAATACATTGCATACTACTATCTTTAGTGACTCAGAGTACAAGATATCCTTTTGTATGAACTAAGTGACACTAATAGTATAACTAACTTGCATTTTTTCTCTTTCCCCTTCCTTCCTTCGTTTCCCCTTCCCCCGTCCTAATTTCCTTTTCCTTTTAAACAACTGCTTCCCATTTCACAATATCTGTTGTACACTGTAGACCTTATTTACTCTTTCAGCTTCTCACACCAGGGAGTCAATACGATGCTTAAACATGTGAATCTGATTTATTCCACTAAGGAATGTGGTCTTACATTGCATTCATTTATCCATAAAAGTCTCAAGTTTATCCTTCTTTATGAATGAGTAGTACTCCATTGTATAAAAAGACCACATCTTTTTTATCCATTCCTTGGCTGATGGGCATTTGGGTTGCTTCCAAGATTTAGCTATTACAAATTGTGCTGTTATAAACATTGCTGCACATATATTGCTATGGTATGATGTTTTTAATTCTTTTGGAAAGATATCCAGATGGAGAATAGCTGGGTTGAATGGTATCTCTAATCCTAGTTTTTTAAAGGAATCTCCACACTGATTTCCATGGTGTTTCACCAGTCTACACTCCCACCAACAGTGGGGAAGTGTTCCTTGTCCCCGACAGCCTCTCCAGCATTTGTTATTGGTTGATTTCTTCATGACAGCCATGCTTGGGGTGAGACGGAATCTCAGTGTTGTTTTAATTTGTATATCTTGAATAATCAGTGATGTTGAACATTTTTTCATATATTTATTTGCCCTCTGTATTTCTTTATCTGAGAAGTGTGTATTCATCTCAGATGCCCATTTTTGGATCGGGTCTTTGAATTTTGGGGGTCTGATTTTTTTCAGTTCTTTATATGTTCCAGGTAGAAGTTCTTCGTCTGAGAGACAATTGGCTAAAATATCTTCTCAGTCTGTGGGTTGTCTTTTCACTCTGTTGGTGATTTCTTCTGATGTGCAAAAGTGTTTTAATAAGAGGTCCCAGTTATTGATTATTTAAAGTATTTCCCATGTGGTCTGGGTTTTGTTCATGGACTCTCTGCCTGTCCCTGTGTCTTCCACATTTCTACCTACTTTCTTTCTAGCATATTGGGTGTTTCTGTCTTGATATTTAATATTAAATCTATATTTTAATATTTAGATCATTGATCCATTTTGACTTTAGTGTGGGGTGATAGACATGGGTCTATTTTTAGTCTTCAGCATGTAGATTGCCAGTTTTTCCAGCACCATTATTAAAGAGGCGCTCTTTCTTTCAATGAACATGTCTGGCTGCTTTGTCAAAGATAAGGTGGCTGAATGTGTTTGGAGTTGTGTCTGCATCTTCTAATCTGTTCCACTGCTCCTCAGGTCTGTTTTATTTCTTTTTCTTTTTTGCCAGTAGCATGCTGATTGTATCACAGTAGCTTTGTAGTATAATTTCAAGTCAGGGATTGTAATGCCTCCAATGCAGAATTA